AAAAATTTAAAAAGGTAAGGCACAAGGTAAGTTAAGAGAGAGGAGGAGAGAGAGAGAGAGAGGAATCCCTAGTTTTATATTTCTTCTTAAATTTGCAATTTAAAAATTTATGCTGCAATGTGAGTAATAAAGAAAAAGGGTGACAACAATGTTTGTCACTGGATATCTTTATATCTCATAGATATAAAAATTGCACTCATGAGCCACGTCCGTCAAACGAATCTAAAAAAGATTTGAAAGGAATATCGATTAATACCGAGAAGAATTTTACGAAACTTTTTCTTTCTGACAAAATTAGCTTTTTAACAGGATTAATTACTTTTATCGTGGAACTTCTTTAGAACGTGAAGTGAAAAATTAGTTAAGATAAGTTAATATATTTTACTCTCGGTTAGATCGCTTTTGCTCCTCGCGCGTCTAACTTTCTTTGTAATTTTTTGTGAAGTGAGATTTAAAAAATTAATGAAGATGAATGATCTATAAATTAAAAAAGGAAATCGAAGAAGTAGATTAATTAAAATAGTATAATAATTATATATATATATAAAACTGTGATTAAAATATGATCATAATCAAACTTTTCTTCAAAAATAATTACGATTATACAAATAATAAGCAAAATTTTTATTCAGGTATGTTTCACTTCTGTATATACTTCTCTTTTTATTTTACCTTCGGAAGGAATAATTTTTCCATCGTAAAATAATATAAATATGATACAATAATAATAACAATATAAAAATTAAAAATTATTGAACGATAATGACGAAGGATTTTAGCAGATAAAATCTAATTCATGAGCGATCAAGTTTTACAACTTTTCACATTGCATCAGAGAGTACAATAAAATTATTAATTATTAACCGATTAATTAAAAATCCTCATTCAATACACGGGATATTGTTTTCAATGAATTTTTAATATTATCTTATTCATCCACGATATTTCATAATGCCTAATCCTTCCGCCACATTGTTAAAACTTTATTATTTGACGAAGCATCAGGATATTCCCATAACTATCATACAGGTGTAAACCTGGAAAATGCACCGTAAAAGCTGCTTAAAGTATATAATTTAATATTCAAAGGGGTTTATGAGAGTGTTTATGAAGATATTACACGAGAATTACGAGCAAAACGTAACGCAACCGTCGAATCGATAATTTTTTTTTCAAACTCAAGGAGATAAATACTTATTACCAATTTGTTTAATTTAAGATAATTTTAATTCTCGAGGATAATATAATTCTCTTTAACAATAATCTCCAAGAATTGAGAAATCTAATAATAATAATAATAATAATAACAATTCGAATAAAATCAATTGTAAACTAATCCACGCAAATTGAAAAGTTTAAAGAACGGTAAAAGTGAAGCACTTTAAGAAAAAAATCAAGATGTACACAAAATAAATTCCATAACAAGGTATGGAACACCTTCAATAATCTCATTCGAATCCTTATTAAATTACAAGCCACTGAACTTCGCATATTAAATGAAATAAAATGGAAACAGAGCGAGACTCTCCTGTCCCTGTTACATCATTGCGCTCTATTCATCCAACTACAAACCTAAATCGATATTTATATATATATATATGAAACATAACTTTCACAAAATCGAACCCTCCAAATCTCACATCCCCGTGTCGATAAATCTACCATACCTAACACGAAATATATACATCTAACGAGTAAATAGAGGCAAATATCCAGGCACGATAAATCACAGCGTGGTCCATCAGAAGCGGAAGTCGATCGCGACCCTCGCCACGATCATTCATCCGGCGAAGAGATCGACGATTCCCCGCCAACACCTCGCGTCACAACTTTCCACGCACAGCAGGTGGAAAGCTTGGAAGCGGCACGAGGTCCCTCGTTTTCGTGGCGAAGGTAATAGCGAAGTCGATCCACGAAGAAGAACGAGAAGGGTCACACACGAAGCCTACTTTCTTCCTCTTTCTTCACAGCCCGAAAGGGGGGAAGTCGTATCGTCGCGGGCCCGCGCTCGCCAGCCCGAGCCAGTCACACGGACCCACTCGACGAATCTCGATGGGCCTCGCTCGTTTCTCTCGCGCCGCGCTCTATAAACTTCCGGTTTGAGAAGAGGGAAGGAAGAGTAATAGTAGATAAGATCGTCGAAAAGATTGCTTCTTTCCTCGAATTCGGTTTCTCTTTCTCTTCTCTGCTCTCGAGGAGGACGAATTCTCATTTTTCGAGAGGAGGTTGACTGCTTGGAAGTGGAGGACGAGGGGTAAGTATTCACGTCAACGAGCTATGGAAATTTTCGGGAACGTGGTGCGTGGGTGATGGAGTTTTGTGGACAGGTTATTGTGGACGAATTTACAAGAGTTGGTTGAATTTGGTGGAATTTTAAGGTTTCGTGTTGCGAATTTAAAGGATTTTTTTTCTTTTTCTTTCCTTTTGCGTAGTAAAAATTTACAGATATAAGCAGAAAAGGTATCGGTTGTTTTACATTTACAAGGATTCTACGAAAATTGCGTGGAGATCGTACTTGAGCGGAATATCGAATTCATAAACTAGTCAATAAGCTCGAGCTACCTGTAGCGCGTCGAGTTAAATACTGAATGAACCAAACACGACATCGTGTTTCCTAAATTAAATATCGCACACCGCGATTGTAAATATTCCCATATACAATCTTCGAAAAATTTTAATCGATGAATGATTGAACGAAAATTTTCAGGAATTAAAAAATTGTATCTCTTTCTCGTACGAAAGAATTCGTCGTCTAGAATTTTTGCCTAAGATAATTGAAAAGTGACTCCACTTTTAATTTAATGATTCTCAACGATTAATACAAGAAGACAGTGTTAAATTTTTTTCACGATAATTTAATAAATCTTCTTCACTGTTTGTTCGAGAACAGCACAAGGTGTATTACATTTTTATAAATATAAATTCATTCGAGTGAACGAATAACCCAAATTCGATCGATTTATTCTCCTAGGGAGAATAAATTTTCCCTAGATTCAGATAATCAATTCATTTCGTAATTTCGATCGAGATGAAAACCATAAATGAAAACGAAAGTCTCGTCGTTCCCGACTAATCGATTCATCAACGAATAATAATAAACGGATGGAGAAGACGCGTGAAATGATCGATTTGTTGGCAAAATCGTGGCAAAAATCTCGTTTACATCGGTTGGTAATAAGGTTGTTTCGATGCGCAATCGCGTTCGTCGATTTGTCATGGTTGCAAGCGTGTCGAAACACTTTCAGAGTGCAGAAACAGAGCAGTGCAGGTTGGAACAAGAGAGAGAAAGAGAGAGAGAGAAATATTCACGTGTACATATCCACCTCTTCTAGAGATCTAACACACTTCCAACAGTTTTCTCTTGGACACGATTAAGAAAAATCGTTCAGCGTCGCGGAACTGGATCGACGACGCGCTATTCCTCCACTTCTCGATGCTTGATATTGGAATTTACACTTTTTCTCCCCTTCTTCGTTTTACCTTCCAACCTGAGACCTTCCGTTTCCGGGCTATAAGTTCTCTTTCTCTCTCTCTCTCTCTCTCTCTCTCCATTTGAGACGCGATACTGCTCGTTTAAAATAACGATCCGCCATCTCGAAGATAGAGATTTTCAATTTGGAAAATTAAGTCGAGTAATTTTTCAACGAATTAAAAATTGTTTTCGAGGATGTTGAAAAAATTATAACAGTTTCCTCCCTTTAAAGATATTAAAATAAATTAAGATAACGGAAATTGGAGGGAAGAAAATGGAGGACGAAGAAATGTGGGTAAAAATGTATAAATATGAATTACATTGTTATTATGCCTAACTAATAAAAGTAAAAAAAAAAAAATAAATAGAAAGCATTGCCGCGTGACGAGAAAGCAGTGTGGAAAAATATGACGTGAAAATGTTGATACAATGTGTATTGGGAAAACAAGAGACAAGAATGTGTACATATGCAAATGAGAAAATTGCTCTTGGGAAATAAGCTGTCCAACCGCATGTAACATTTATATTACAAATTTTATTCAATTATATAAGATGGAACAACGTGCAGATACGTTCTCTATTGAATTCGATGTAGAGAAAATTAATGAAATTTAATATAATATAATAATATCGTAACATTTTCTTCCACTTTCTCTGTACAATCCTCTATTTCCTTCTCACAGAAACGAAATACCAAAATAATAACGAATCCCAAAAACTTATATTCTCTATAAAACTAAATATTCGAGGGGCGAAATACGTCGTTCATCACGATTCACCCATTACCCCATCTGTGAAAAAGCACGCCCTCGCGTTCAATCTCGAAACTGGCATCAAATCGCGCCGCGAAACAACGTTTCACGGCCGATAAATTCGAATCTAACGCGATACGGGATATCGTTGAAAGCCTCGCGTTGGAATCGTGAACGAGGGAAAAATTGGCCGCGCACGGACATTGCGAATTGTTCGCCATAAACGTCTTCGAGACGGCTCATTCGAGGGTTATTTTTGTTCCTGAATAGCTTGGAACTGGATTACAAACGATATTTGGCGAGAAGCGGCCCTTCGAGGATGACAAACGTTTGGGTTTGGGGAACGATTGACGTGAGTGGTTCCATCTTGGTGAAAAGGATGATGCTCGATTGTTTTCAATATTTGGAATGCGCTATTTTTAATTAACATTTGAAGGAGGTGAAATATCAGGTTATAATTATTGGAAAAGATAGGATTATGGTTCGATTTTTTGAAACAATTTGATTGTTTAACGTGGATGATTATTATGCTTGTACAATTTATTCGAATTGAAAAAAAATCATTGTTCAAATGTTTTAGAAGTGTTTTAGATAGATTATTTCAAATATCAGAATCTTAATAATGGGGAAATTAAACACAGTATGGGAATCGTGTTGGAATCTTAATAACGATTTAACGAAGAATCGATTATTGGCAATTTCGAAATTTCCAATAAATGAACGGCGAAAGAGATTGTGCGCAAAAATCGCGTGCATCTATCGAACGAGATTATTAATTCATCGAAATTGTTAAACGATGTTCGACGTGGAAACGCAATTGAAACTCGCTTAACTTCGGTGATGGAAGGAGTCTGATATAAAAATCGAACGGAGGATGCATTTCAGATAAGAATGAGATCCACTCTACAATGTAAAAATTGTTCCTTTAATATCCAAGAGATTTATTATTAACTATTCCTATCATTTTTCATTTGATTCGAATATATAAAATGAAATTGGCGGAAGAAAAATTAAGGGCATCGATATGATCGAATAACAAATATATAATATAATAAATATCGAAGGAAATAATTTCTTTAAAAATTATACAACTTACTCAAACAAATATTCCAAACTTATAACAATCTTGTATCTTTCTCCTTAATAATTCGTTAAAATGATCGATAAAATTATCCACAACGAGAGAGAAGAAGTAAAAATATCCAGAGGACCATTTATAAAATATATTGTGTGAAAAATATTGAGAAAATATCGTGTACGAACACGAGTCGATCGTTGATAAAATTGGGAGCAGGACGTCTCGATATTCACGCGTGAATCGCGGCCATTTTGCTCGAATATCGGCTCGAATAAGGAAGAAAAATGATGGAGAGAGAGAAGGTGGCGGAAGTTGAAACGAACGACGCTCGATAATGTTACAATTTAGATCGCGAATAACATGGAATGAGCGGAAGGACCGCTTTTGCTTGGTATGGTCATCTAGGTTGCATCGACATGCCTGTTACACATTTCGCCTTCTTGCTTGTCCTCGCGTGCCGCTATTTGTTCGCTATCGCGTGTCACGATTTATTTGCATTCGAATAATGATGGATACCATTATCGATTCGAAAAGAAAATTAACATTTTATTATTTCGAAATGGTATTGAAAAAAATTAGGTATTGATAGTAATGTTAAAATTGTAAATTAAATAGAAAAGAAAAGGAGGAGAAGAAGATGAAGAATAATGATTTCTCAATATATATATATATGGATTGGTGGGGAAAGTTTTGAATTTAAAAATATTATAATTGGAATTGGCATTTGGAGAAAAGGGATTCGACGCTCGTGACATTGTGCACTAAATACATATAATCCATGTTAAGCTATGGGATTTCTACGAGCTCGAAGCTTTTCCTCCATTTTTTATTTCCATTACTTCGCTGTACAAATATTCACCGAGTATTTTAAACAAAGAATACGCATTAATGTGAAGGTAATTACGGAAACGCGTTGACAGAGATTTCTCCACTCGGAGATTTTATTATCGATAACATTGTCCTCCATAATAGAGAAATTAATAAATGGAAAATAATGAAAGACAATTATATTTTTTTACATCGAATGAAAGATATATATATAGAGAGAGTAATGGATCAACGAGATAAACATTTTCTGTGTTGTTAATAATATTATTTGCCGGAATATATATTATAAAATATTAATAACAGTAATAGGATAATTAATTTGCTCGTTAAAGTAAATATACAAATCTTATCAAGCGAGCAAGGATGATTGTGAGAAATGATAGTGGAATGAATGAAATTAATCGTGAGAATAATTTTTTCTAGTTTGATTTTCACTCGTAGAAAAAAAAATGGTGAAAATTTTTTTTCCCGAAAGAACATTATATCCTACTGTCAAGATTGAAAACGATTGATTCTATTCTTTTTTGATACTTCGTACTACGTGAGATTTACTATACTTTTACAAGATGCTTAACGCCTCTTACGACGCGTTTCTAAAAATAAGATTTCAAAGGTGAAGATTAAAAAATTGACTATCGATTCGATCTGTAAAAAAAAAAAGAAAAAAAATAAGTTTATTCGAGGCAACGCGAAAAGAATAAATATCGTCCATATTGACATTTCCTTCACTGCTGAACGAAACACGAGTTGACAAGAAATTGAGATCCATTTAATAATTTCATTCCATTTCATTTATTATTCAAACAGAAATAACCACAAATAAATCCTATATCATTATCAAACTTATTAAAAATTGAAAACTAATTAAACTACTTGAACAAATTAAACTCTAGTTTCTTCTTAAAACAACAATTTTTAATAATAATTCCAATCATTTTCAATTTCAACAAACATAACCTCACTTTCGATCGAATTCTTCAAAAATAACTTTTCTC